ATATATTTATATATATGTATATATATATATATATATATATATATACATATATATATATAATCATTGTAGAAATCTAATTTCACCCTATGCAACTTCGCAGGTGAAGAAGTTTACCTATAGATTTACCACCTCATTCTTTCATTTTTGTGCGAATAATTGTTGATTGATCAGCGGTTTGGATACCTTACTCTTTTATCACTTTTCTCCTCCTTAGTGAATGTGTATCAGTTTTGCCTTGTTTCAGCTTTACACAGGCTTACGTCACACGATACCTCACACCAGATCACGCCAGATTGTTTTGTACACTCTAGGNNNCTAACGGTTGTTCACACAAAACTGTTTCAAGCAAAAGCCGACAATGGGATCCGGGTGGACCAGACTGATGACTAAAATCTTACACAATAATTGTTAGTTATTTTATCCATGACTTTTATTGTGATAAATATATATATATAGCGGATTTTGTAAACAAGTACTGCGATCCCCGTAATCGTGCGTGGTGATCAACACAACTATATTATGCTGGACTCGGATTCATTTGCAAGAATTATAGGTTTTTCAAATTTAGAACAAGCTCGTTTTCAGTTATTCGTAATCATGTCATTACATAACATTAAATATGACTAACAATAAGAACACAACAGGGAATGAGAGATTCGACTCTAAATGATTCAGCTGTGGCTCCAATCATGTGTGTGCGTTTGTGTGAAACTGATCACAGTGTCAAAGAAGGCTAACAAGTGCAGTAAGGAGAACATTTTACGCTGCACAACTAAAACCTGTGTTCACATTCAAGCCAATTATATGTTTCCGACTGAAGGATAGAGTGCCAGACTCTGCAGCCTCATTCTGTGTATATTCATTCAGCTGTTCCTGTGCGACTGAGTGCATTGGCCGCACGACCAGGCGTTTATCCGATCGCGGTCGCAAACACCACCCTTGGCTTGGCTGAGGATTGGAACAATTAAGACAATCATGAGCGCGGTGTGTTTAAATCTCGCTGAGTCAAATCACTCGGTAGATGAGGCGAACTCGTTTCGACCGATTTACAAGGTTCGATGCAGGCAATCAAGAGCAGTGAAGTATCGTATCTTAGCCGCGACCGAAGTATTCGGATTCACAAGCCCCCTCCCCCCACTTGTGCGCACAGAAGACATTTGTACAAGCACGTAATCACCCTTGGCCCACTTCAACCACTTCAACACGTATGCAATCACTTGAACTTTTGACACTGTGATCAATTCCACACAAACGCACACACGCATAATTGGAGCCACAGTTGAATCATTTGGAGTCGAATCTCTCATTCCCTGTTGTTAGTCATATTTAATGTTATGTATTGGCATGATTACGAATAACTGAAAACGAGCCTGTTCACCACGCTGTTGTTCTGAATGTGTTTAATGGGACTAATGAAACGATTTTTCAAATTTCTCAGCAGTGAACCACCATGTCTGCACTAATACCACATTGGAACAGCAATGCTGACTGTGCACCGTGCGATATTTTCCCGATATTACCGATACAAAACTGTCGTATATCGTCAATCTGCTATTAGAGATGTTAACTCACACCGATCGTGTGAAATTGGTTCCGTCTGATCCAACACCAAAAGCGGGGTTATAATATTTGTCTCCTCAGGGGATCTCACTGGCTCCGGTATCACCGGATCACCTACGTGGTCTTGTTGCATCTCATCTGGGCTACGTGGAACAAGTAACGGCATGCGAGCTGATCCGGTTGACTGGACAATTGTGTCAGGTGTCTCGGTTTGACCAAGATCCGAGTCCGGCTCAATCACACTCATTTTAATCATCACATTTTTACTCGATTCACTATCTGTATCCGGATCGGGTGTAGACAAGTCTATCAGTGTGTTTTCAATCTGATCATGTTGTTCGATTTCGGTTACTGTTTGCAGTGAGTGATCCCTTTCCGTTGATGTGAGCAGATCGGGTGTGATTGCTTCATCCTCCTCTCCGGGGGTGATTTTGGAAATGCGGGGTGTGCTGGCGGTATTGCTGGTCCCCGTCATAGTTGTGGTAGTGAAGGAGGTCTTCTCTATGTTGTCATTCCCATCGTTCGATTTGGAGTAGTCGATCGTGTTCGTTGGAGGAATTGTACGATCAATAGAACTGGCAACCCCCGTTGACAAATCGTCTAAAACCATCGTTCGCTTCACACGATGAAATCCACCTGGAAAGTGATACAGGTGAAAAGAAACTGTCAGCGGCGGCACATCTGAGCAAAAAATGACAAAATGTGAATTTTAACCCATAATATGAAATTATTCCTTTCTAGAGAACCAGTAACGATTCAGTTCTCTCATCCCGTGTGAGTTGTATCACATAATATTACACAATCACATTAGGCTACGGACCAAAAATAGGAACACAGTGTGCCTCTCTTCCTTATACCGAGACCGTTTCCGTATTTTTAGCAGTGACTTCATAGTCTAAAACACTGATTCAATCTCCTGCGACTGCATGAATGAATGAAACATTTGAAGGAGTTTATTGCGCGTTTCATGGATACATTCTAAGGTAATGAATTAACGTAACACCCACTCTATTAAGTATAGCTTGACGAGGATCGTTTTACAACAGTAGGGGTGCATTTTTAATTCAAATAAGAGATTTGATTTAGAAAAGCATGAATTAGCAAACAAGATTATTATCGGTAAGTATACTATTGGTATCGCCATTTCTGTTTCCGTATCTAACCAATCAGAACTGGTTGATTATAACACTAACCTATCCCACCTCGTTTCATATTCCACTTTGTCCGGTCTTAATCTTAATCCTGAAAAATGTCTTGAATGTATTTTTACTCTTAACCGTACCCCATACCCCTCTGACAATGTCCAGATGCATGGAAAACCGATGAGCAGGGTCAGGCGTGTGAAGTACTTAGGTGTCACACCTGAAAATAACCTTCACTGGTCCTTACATACCCAAACTGTTGCTCGCAAGTTGAAAGTTCTCTCTTTTCAGATAAGAAGACTGCGGCACTTCTGTTCTGATTTGTCCGTAATAAACGCTGTCATTCAAGCATGTCCCCTCTATACCACTTTACTGCTCCCCTGTAATTTTCCCTGGTTTGCTGAAGGCTGATTTCAAGTTGCCGAGGTATGACCTCTCAATGATCAGCCGTGTCTCCCAAGTTCCGTTATCTGTTCTGATTGGCAATATGTGTAATGCCCATATTGATGCGTGCTTACAGTTTGCTGACAATATCCTATCTGATTGCACCCATCATCTACACATTGACCTGTTTGCATGCAAATCCGACCCCTCCACCCGTTCTAAGGGCAAACTTATCCCGTCTTGCATATCCGCATACAGAAACTCTTTGGTACCTTATCCTACCCAGATAGTGATCGACGAGGAAAGTGTTCGTTCTAAGCTTTCTAATGCACTGAGTAATGAACTCATATTTTTGTACGTTTCACATCTCACTCGTCTTTTTCACCGCAATTGTAACGATGGTCTATTTTTTGACTGAAAGCTTGTATATAACTCGCTAAAGCTAGAATACAGTACAATACAACTTCTCCTTCTGGTGGCAGGAAAACCCTCTCTAGTGTCATCGTGAAACCTCTCGCAAGTACGAGACAGATAACCCGACCGTCAGCCAAACAAGTCACGTGGTTTGAAGATTGAATGGTCCGCTGCGCAAGGTACACTCTATTGCGTATAAAGATATCTTCAATCGATGTTCAAGGATCCCTAATTCATACTTGGATGTTCAGATCTGAAAACTGTATAGATCTCAGAGTTATTCTCTCTATCTATCTGTCTGTTCAAAGCATATATTTTCCAAATCGCAGTTAGCTCCTCTTGTCAATTATTCTAAATATTTGTAACACGTTTAATTATTCGTCTGACGTTTGTATAAACCAAAAAAGCTTTTGCCTCACGATACCAGCCGATGTGTGTCCGAATTACCGTCACACAAAAATTCACTTACTTTTACACATTCTGCAGTTTGACCACACGGTTGCATCTCAAATTGTACCCTTCGTTGCATTACTTTCCGGTCTCGGATTCCCTAATCAGCGCAATACGGCTCAGAGTTTTTGCCACAACCGGATCGGTACGCGCTTGTGAATATTGCATATGCGTGGGTCTGAATCTCACTGATATATCTATCGACCAAGGCCGATCGCTTTCCACACTACTCCTATACACCTTAAACGATTTTTTTGCTAAATTTATATTTTACATAAGGGAACTGGAAAATGTTCAGTGTGGAAACAATTTCACCCGTTCAAAGTGCAGCAATCAAAATCTGGCTAAATTGTAGTCTTTACACAGAGTATCCAAACGAACGAACTGGAAGAGGAAAATTTTCGTTTTCGTTTGTTGAATTTATACGCTTTTTGTGAGCATCAACTATGCTTCACGGAACAAGCACATGTCCATTGTTACTTGCAATCGGAAACGGGTACAGTTGAGTGTTTTACTTGGAGTTTGCTAGACATGCAAAACTAGAGACTATATGCATTCGTATAATTCTTTATTATTCTTTCTTATTCTTTATTAGTTTTATTGTTGCTACGTTTTGTGTTGTTGGTTTTCTTGTTCGATCACAAACCAAAATTTGTAAGAACAAATCGTCCATCCTGCTTATGCATGTCAAACCAAGCTAGGAGGAACAAAAACAACTCAGGAAAACTCTTTGAAGTAAACTCACCATCACCGGAAACTAAAGATGGACTTCCTTTTGCCTGCTGTATATGGGAGCCACCATTCTGAGCTGAATGTTCTGAGGCCGCCATAGATGGTTCTGGTTCTACCATCAATCTTGTCACCGACTGGTCTAAGCCCTGGGTAGCGCTATCTGGGCTAACATGCTTGATAGTGTCGTCTGTGCTCCACGCATTGGTCACTCCCAGTGGTGAAGCGGTTTGTTCCAGACCCGAATCACTCAAACCGGTGACTGTACAGCCCCGAGTCGAGTAACGACAGTGACAGAAGATTAACCAACGAGTCACATTGGCTTGCGCATGTACCGGATACAAATCCACCGTCTGTAGCTCCGCTGATTCGAGTAAATCGGCCCAATTGAGTGTGAATGGTGCATAACACAACCCCGGATTGTCATAAAAGTACACTCCGTGTTGAATGATCGCTTTACGCATGGGCATGAGCGAGAGAATACCCACGTGTGCATGTATGCATATGGGAAAAAGGAAATGGGATAGAGTGTATTATTGGAATAAAAACTATTTCACAACGAGGGGGAATATGAACAGAGCATGTGATTGGATAGCTCCAGTGTTGGTAGTAGCAGTAGTAGTAGTAGAGTAGTAGTAGTCGTAGCAGAAACGGGCCCCTAGTATACATATATGTGACTCGATGGTCGATTCAACTACATGGCAACCATACATGTTCACGGGAATCATTAACGATCATAGTGCGCTGATACGGAACGCCTGGCCCGACAAAAACGAAAAGCGAATTTTTTTTCTGCATCATGAAACAGAATTGAATTCCACCGGAATTTCAAAGTGAATTTAAATAGTATTTCAGAAAGCTTTTTGGGACTGTTAAAATAGGCAAGTGATCGTACAGCACGAGGCAGTAAGCCGAAAGATCGGTCGATTTTCAATCGAGGCTAATTTCGAATTATCGCAACAAGCAAGTACAATTGGATTAGTATGAATTTGATGGGACATAGGATCGGGGACACGATGCTTAAAAGTGATTAGACCACTAGACTGCTCGTAATTCGTTTGAACTAATATTGGGCCATTTATGTGTGCTGGAAATGAATGGAAACAAAGTTTTACGTATAAGCTAGTGTTGACTTATTCATCAAATAGTTAATACATAATGTCTATCCATAGAATGAGAAACCAGTCGATCAAAGTCAAGAAGAGGAGAGATTTTATTTGTTTTGCCCATTATCCAGGGGCAGAATACAGCTAATTTTAAAATCACGTGGTCTCCAAGATCGTGTTATTTGTGTGAGATATGAGTGATATAGAGAACTGCATTACGGGGTTAAGCAGAAGAACACACTGGAGACCGGGTGATTTACGCCTCAGATTTTGGATCACTGCTGTGGTCCGGTGCCAAAGGTAACCAAACTATCATCCCAGAGAACTTATGTTTGAATCCTCGTTCATGTTTTCGCCTGAGGTGCAATTCTCCACTGTTCGGCTCCCTAGAGCACTAATCCCTCGTAATATATTGTCTGTGTGCATTTGAATTTGTTCGCAGCCTGAGGAGGATCGGTAGGTGAAATTAGGTCGTTTTTAGTGCTGCAAAAAATGTTTCTGTAATTCTATATTCTACAATCTTGATCTCTAAGCATGTTGTCTCTACTTAGACTCGAACTCATCTCGTCTCATATTTTCTGCCATTCGGCTGGGTTTCGAATTTACATTTTCTCTTTTTTTGCACTCTCCTCATATGCCTAAACTACATCGCAAGCGTTCAGGAAAGTCGCTTATCTACTGAGCAATGGGTCAGTTAATTGTGCCTCCGAACCTGGCCAATTAGGTCATCCCTCTCGTTTACACTTTCACTAGCTCGAGTTACACAAACATTAGCGTCAAATCACTATTATCAGGTGACTCAAAACCTATGCAACGCCAGCGTTCAAATATTCGATCCACAGAAATGCGAAACCATGATACAACCCCTATGTTTTCCATCCTCTTGTAACCCTTCTATATTTCATTAATATTTGAGATGCATTTTCTACGGAAAGGGAATGTACCTGTTTTACCAATAGCAAGTTTTTGACAAACTTACAAAGGGCATGAAAACACTGGTAGAAAACAGAATAGAGTTTTGAGTACAAAAAACAGCTCCAAGTAACGTTCTCACCTCACCCCACTCGAGACGTCCCCAATGTCTCATCTCACAGTGTGAGAAAAAGAAACAGACTGGAGATATCATTTGAATATTTGAATTTCACCGCATTCCACTGAGACATTATGCCCCATCTTTATTGACAACTACCAAGTGGCTATCTTGATCCTTCACTTAACGTGGACCTGGGTGAGCTGATAAACCCTAAACAGAAAGGCTAATAAGCTAGACCGTGGAACCAAATGTGCATTATATTACCTATGCACACAATGGCGAGGGGGCGGTCAAACTGGATATTAAAATCGGTAACTAATCGATCAGTTCGAAAAATGCAAAACTAAATGATCTGATCGTAGAAACGATCCAGTCAGTATGACGTGCATGCATGCTTATGTGTGTGTGTGTGATAGCAATCCGTATTGGTCAAGCTCCAATCAATGGAAAGGTCACGGTACTAAACAACTATTTTCTGAGCTCACCCATCCTCACGAGTATATTCCGATGATCTTTCAAGCTCATATACACTTTCACACTCAAGCACTTATCCATCGTCCCCATGTCCCTCCTTACCTTTTGAAAACAATGAGGTGTGATTGAATGTTCAAGATGGTCAGTTGGTTCAACCAACCGATCGGTAACATTTTCTACCATTGTTATAATGAATGGAGCAGTTGGTAGATACTCTTTGAGGTATAGCAATTTGCTCTTAGTGGTTTTGTTCATTTTTGATCGTTAGTATCCACCAGCTGTTTTGTATACTACTCACAAATATGAGTAGTACTTCACAACACAAGTTTATAAAAGCTTCCAATAGCGCTTTTAGAACAAAATAATGTAATTTGAACACAGAACTGGTTACTAAATTCCTTTAGTTTGTGTACCTTTGTTCCGCCAAATTTGGTTCAGATGGTGCAACCTATAAAGCGAGGTAACTTCATCCGTGTTATTGTATACCAACCAATCTTGACTATCCGGGTAATTCAGTACTGCAGATTTGCGGGTTTGCAACATGTAGCTGATAGGATGTCAAAATCCAAGAAGAGTCGGTGTCAAAATGAACTATTTCTGATCAAAGAACAAATGTGTGGTGGGACTCAGTGGCGGGGAGTTGAGAATGATGAATGTATCTAAATTGTTTTGGTAACGAAGTGATGCGAAACGTTCCGATAGCGTTTGCTCTCTCGATCGTTTATCAGTGAACGATATTGGCTCTACTTGATCCACCGTGTCTGTGTCAACACCTGGTCCTGTTCACTGATCCTTCAGCATAGTAATCAATTCAGTCGTCCATTGTCAATAACCAATCCATCCTGTTTGATATAACTAAACAGAATAAATCCCTCCCCCCCCCCGAGACCTATGGGACAGGTGGTTAATAATCGATGAATAGTTTTATTCACTAAACTGGCTTTGCATTTTACCAGTTTTAGATATAATTAACAAAATATCAGTATAGCCATTGATAGATAATATGACCTATATTTGATCGAGACGTTTGTTGTGCATGTGTTTGGTTTGATCGACTGAATGATTGGCTGATGTCGCCTGTTAGCACACATGCATACAGATTAACTCTATCAGACTATCGACCTACTCCAACCAATCAGATATCAACATTGATCGGCTCTCAATGATTGATTCATGGACCGCTTAGCTGCGCAGTTTGAACGCACTCTGATTTCACGTAACGCTTGTGTCTGCTTTCGGCCTACACGCCTACTCACCCCTACTTGCTCACCGGGTTATGGATCACCTACACTTGTACGTGCCGTGAATAAACGAACTGTTTTATTCGCTGGATGGTTATTCAATTTCTCAGTCGGGACAGAGCTGTAACGTATGCAGTTATGTATTGAGACTGCTACTGGGCTATATTCTCATCCGTCGAGCACCTGGTTGCCACAGTGCAACGTGGCATACGTGACATGCACAGTTATTCATGCATTGATGGGTTTTTCACATCCAGGAGTGTTCCGCTAAAACGGTATGCGTTTTCAGCGAACATCAGTTCGGAATAAATAGTTGTAACACCGGTATCGTGTCTTTCATCACCGTAATTATCAATGTGTTGATAAATGGCTTGAAAAATTTCCTGTTTTCATTTTGACTACATCGGATGGCCGACCGACTTCGATTGGCTGTGCCACGTTTCTGTTCGCTGTTGCATTGAAATTGATCTCACAGTTTCATTGCGTTCGCGAGCCATTCGTATTCCATATAATTAAATCTATACACAAACACACACTCACCACGGCTTTCCTGGCAATCTTTCATCGTTGTTCCGATTCTGAAATCCTATTCAGGTAGTATTATATCGAAACGCTTTGATTCTAACGCCCCATCACTTCCTTTGGACTCTGAACTAACAGAGCGCGCTATTCTCACCCGTTCGCCATTCGATATTAGAGCTCCTAATGACTTCCTTCACTTTGTATATAAAGGCAGATAGATGTTTGTCAGAAGCTGTCGCTTCGTTGGTGCAATCTAGGTATGAATAACATGCAGTTTCAAAAATTAGTCTGTTTCATCTTCTTTCATTATTATTCTATTTTTAATTCGGTTCCACAATCTGTTTTTCCCGAATTTCAAATTTGTTTCATCATTTTATTGTCACATTTGTGTTCTTTCTCCATATTTGATGTACCATTCACTAGTGATTCATCTTCTATTCTGCCGAACATTATCTTCAAATATGCTGACGAAGTGGTTCTATGAAATGCCATCTCAATTAGTCTCACAAGGAATAGTTGTCTGACAGTTTAACATAAGAGAAAATAAACTTAGATCAGTCTAATCTCCTACTGAACGCTTCCAATTTTTTTCAACTACAACTTTAGTCTGTCACAATCTAATATCTATTGCAATCGTCAGATAGCATCAGAGTATCGGTTACCAGAACACAGCACCAAATATCTAGGAGTTATCGCAGTGGGAGGGCTATCGACGGTGACTCTGTGCAAACCTGATTTGGTAAACTGCATTGCTTATCCCTCAAGATACTCAGACTAAGACTATTCAGACTAAAGCTTTCTACTACGGGTTTTTTGGTAATCAGTGCATTTAACCTAACCTACCATACTATTTCCTCGTGAAATTTTCCGGTCAAATTAGAAAGGACTTTATCATCTTTCGTCGCCCTTGGGAAATGATTGGTTATGTATCTTTTAGCCCCATAAAAACCCTGTAATCACAATTTTGCATGATCTCCCTGTGACAATTTGGTCCCTTAAATGTTCAACGACCCTGGTCATCCGCAAAATTCCGACCTATCTGCTTGATGTTTCCATACCCAATCCAATTGTCGCTACTTAGCCTCCCATAAAACATTATTCCTAATTCAACACAGCACCATTTCTGTATTGTATTGTATTGTATTGTATTGTATTCTTTCTATTTGGTCAGACGAAGAGGTCTTACACAATCAAATTGCTGATCGACAAAGTGGATCTGTTGTTTACATTTTCATCTGTTTTCAACCCAGTGTAACAAGAAACAGTTCTTGACTGAGATGTGAGCATCATTGTTTGCACAAGCCAATAAAATACACTGTAATACTGGCGTATTTCACTCACTCCATAATCCGTCGGAGAGCAAAGAATAGTATGGTAAATAGGATCCATGGGTACCTCAGATGGATAATGGACAGTGTATAGCGTTCCCCGGGATGAACATAACGACCATTCGGTGATGGCTGCCCAGTTGAGACGAGTAGCAGAATGTAGGAGCGCATTTGCGGGACTAATGTGTGTATCTCATTGCCGAAATTATTTCACCGCCTAATAACGTTTAGTTCACACTGTAAGTAATTTGAACTGGTCATCATACAGGCTTCACTGGTTTCCCGATATCACAAACATTCGGCGAACGTCATCAGTACTTTGCGTATGTAATGACACTCATAGGTGATGCATATCTAATCACCCCCGCGAGTCATTGGAGCTCAAGATTTCTCGCATAGTAGGCCTAGGTGAATACTGTGCTAGCCGGGCTGTATGACTAAAATCGTTAATTCATGCTTATTCAGTTGCCATCTTCAATTTCAGTCAAGCTGTCCGTTTGCCTCATAGCAGCGAAAGGAGACGTAGAATACCGTTTGCTAACTAGAGCCGAATACCCCTAGCCCAAATCCGGTTTTCCATGCAGCTTTGAGTACAACTACCTAATTAAACACTGAGTGAATTCAGATTTAACTTTTTAAACCAGTTAAGAGTATCGTTGTAGTGGTTAGTGAATAACATCGGGTTTTGGTTCTATCATTCAAACCTCATTTTTCGAATCACACAATACTCATCAGTTTTGTAACTGAGAGATAAGAGTTTCGAACCCCAACCTAGGAGTTGGAGAACCTAGTCCCAGGAGGGACACAGATGCCGATTCAAATTGACGAAAAACATGGCGTTGTTTGACACTCAAAAGAAGTGCACGTACCTTGTTTAGTATACTAAGTGGACATAATTAGTTCCGAATGCTTAGATTTTCTTGGCACACAGTCTGTCCTGAGACAAATGTGAAATATAATAATAATAATAATAATAATGCTTAGATAGGATGTTCCATCAGAGGAATAAAAGATAGTCAACAATCGATACAATAAACGTACCTATTTGTGTGTGAGTTCCTTATAGTCTGGTCTCTCCGTGTGTGCTTCTTTTATCTTCAACGTAACTAGCTCAAGACCCATTGTTGTTGGTGAACCAACAAAATGTATAAACAAATGGTGGTTTCCCTTTTGAAGAGCGCAATTCACATAGAAGTAACAGGTGATTCCTTTCTATAATATGAATTCACCTATCCACCTGACATGAAACACCGGTATTATTACCGTCCACGATTGGCCACGATTTGAAACTTAGTCTAATTTTCTGGTTTGAAAGTAATGGACGATTTAATTTGTTTTTATGATAAATTCTTTGTGTAACTGAGACGTGAACTGAAAATCTGAGCAGCACTGGACAGCTGTTTTGACCTGGTCGGGTTTCATCCGTGCAATGCGAATCCATCGACCCGACTGGGGATCGAACCCGGAACCTCAGAGATAGAACGCAAGTATAATACCCACACGGCCACCGGGCTATATAGTGCTATATAGTGTATAATCAAGATGAGAAACGGTCTGATCAGCTGCCCGGTCATCAAGTGTGTAGGATACTTGCGCTCTACCTGTGAGGTCCCGGGTTTGATCCCCTAGTAGTGTGGGTGAATTCGCACCGCTGATAAGATCCAACCAGGTCGAAAGAGCTGTCCAGTGCTTCCCAGCTTTTCAGGTCACGCCTCATTTACACGATGAATTACCTGATCTTGTTAGGTATTATTGTGATTTACGTTCAAGTCATGCGACACAACATCACACAACAACAACAACAACAACAACATTTGACCACCAGGTTCATTTTTATCCGGCACGATTATTCTGCAACAGATCTGGTTGTGTCAACCTAAAAACTATGAATAAAATGCTTGATTGTTATGTTTTTCTGAGATTTGCTTATCTTACGGTAAATCGGATTGGTCTTCAGTGTTTATTTAGGATGGACAATACGGCGGGGGACGTGACTGGGAGGATGGGTTGGGCGGGTGGAGAGAAGGAGCGATAAAATCACGAGACCACTTTTGTGTTGCTTTCACGTCTCTCATTAGCCTCAGTCCTATTCCTAATTATCGACTGTATATTGATTTTAAACGAAATGAATTTGCACATAAAACATTGTCATTATCATTACAGTAATTACTGATTTCTGATCAGATTGTGCGCTGTATGCCGCATGCTGAGAGTCACAAGAATATATTTGTTTTTCTATACCTACTAGAATCAAGATCTGACCAAATACCTAATGACTGACCAGTGAATGAACCATTACGAGTTTTCTGAATTCGTATTAACGAGAAAAATGACTTTTGGAATTGGATGGGTGAAACGATACTGGTGATTCCTTGGGTAAGAACAAATCACAAACATATATATATATATATGTTTATAAGGTGCCTCATACAATTTTTTGTTTACTATCGAAAGAGAATAATCAAAGAATTCATATGCTTTATTTTTTATTTAACAAAAATCTTTTTTTTTCTGCCGTAAGGACTCACATATTAACTGAGGCATTTCCAGGAACCGCAAAAATGAAATATCCTCTGCGGTACCGTACAACTCATGTCTGTCCGTGGGCCCGGTTCCCACACTTGAGTAGTAGTTATTCGAGACCAGTAAAGACACACGACGATGTTTCACTTGTACAAACTCCTGACCCCTTATCGCGCGTAGTTTCGGTAACCGTAAACGCATACGACCCACACTGTGAATGACCAGGTATCCGGAGATTTCCTCGATCTGTTCCAGACTGGACACATCGTCCGCTATTTGTTCAAACACAACGGATATGAAGAGAACGGAAAGATGACTGCGTTCATTTGTGACATTAATGTGTTTTGACAAGAACTACATGACCAAAACGGGATCCTCAGTGCCCGTAGCTTTTTCGTTCAAACGGTCGGCGTAGATTGGAAAACGTTGCAACTATACCGTTGAAATTCAAGTGATTCCGTTGTCATTTCGAGGGAATCCAACCAATCACATTCTGCCGTCACACGCCACCGATTGGACCGGGTCTATCGAACTCAGTCCAGTCGTAGTGATCTGTATTGTTCACAGAGAAACTTTATGTGAGTACTTTATGTGTGAGTTCCTGAGCGAGGATGTAAGTTTTGGTGGTGTGGTGTGTGACCGTTCGTCCCCATCCCCTCACCCCACCCGGGTACGTTATCTCATTGACCGTGGATTGTGTGAACTTTAGACGTCAATCGCCAAACCCCGTGGTAATTGGTCTCGATCGGTCGAGTAAGGAAGTAAATCAGGTCAAAATGGATCGGTAAATTGGTCACTATGCTCAGGTGTAAATTTTGGAATGAATCATTATATGAATGTGTTCAGTCTCAATAGTTTACACTTTTTCAACTACTAGCGAATCCGCTGTAACTTCAAGTGAATCTACCTTTCAATGGCAGAAATAAGTAAGCAATCGTACTTGATTCAAAGGAATCGGTGTTAGTTGCGGGAATCACGACCACACTGGAATTTACTCACTTGGATATTTAGAGTCTAGACTGAACACACACACACACACACACACACGATGATTCATCCCAACATCCATGTCTGCGTATTGTGACCGATTTATCGATTCCATCTTGATGTGATTCGCTTCCTTACCCGACCGACAAAGGTCAATTACCATCGGGTTCGTTCGTTCGTTCGTTCGTTCGTTCGTTTGTGTCTATGACGCACACGCCTGATCAACGATCACGGATATACCGTGCCATACGGGGTCGAGCGGGGGTGGGGAGGAAGGGAGTTCACGAATTACCCATCCCATCCCATCCAATCCCATCCCATCCCATCCCACCCCATCCCACGGAAACTTTCCTCCTGGCTCGGTAACTCACTCAAAAAGTACCTTTATTTGTCTATAGAGAAAATCAGTCCACTCCGACTGGACGGGGTCTATAGACAGACCCGATTCAATCGGTGACGTTTGACGGCCGGAACACCAGTAATCTTGTGAGGTTCCCAATGGGATACGATTGGTTAGATTCATTTGAAGTTACAACTGATTAACTTGAAGTCGCAAAGGTATAGTGAGCAAATTCCATTGAGACAGAGGTCCTTTCGAATAACACCTATTTCTCGGGAGCAAATGCAATTACCGGCATGTTTCTGGAATTAAAAGATTCACTTGACAAGATAATCAACAATGATAATAGGATAAAATGAAAGAATCGACAGCATTTCATCAGCATAGCAACATTCACTTTAAACTCATCTACTAGCTAACAGAAATTAAATTTTTCTCTGTAACTTCCAAGTTGACTATTTCATTCTATTCACAATGCCAATGGCAACAACCTGTCGCATACGGGTTCTCCCTTTGTTACTCATCTCCGTCGTATATTTCATCATTCTTGTTGTATCATTTACCATCCGCAATGTATATAGCAAATGAAGCGTGAACTGAAAAGCTCGGAAGCACTGGACAGCTGTTTCGACCTGGTTGGGTCTCATCAGCAGTGCGAATCCATCGGCCCGACTGGGGCTCGAACCCGGGACTTCATGCCTCTGTAAGTTGGATGGGTAAATTCGAATGTGAAAAAGATCAGTGCTATCGGTGTGGCCTCGTAGCTCAGCTGGTCGAGCATGCGCGTACAAAGCGTAGGCGGTGTCCATGCGTGGGTTCCAATCCCACCAAGGCTACTGAACTTTTCACAATCGACGTACAAACTTCACATCTGCCAAACAACTATTTGAAATAGCAATGTGGCAAATCAATCTACTCACCATCAGTCATCCCCGCAATAATTAGGTTTCCATAGATGAGGGAACAATTTTGTCCAAGACGACTGGCAAGAACCGACCATGGTTGGGTGACATCCATCCAGGTGAACGTACTACGGCAAACTGTGAGTGTGTGGGAAAACACAAATAGGGTAAATGAGATTATACCGTACGGGTGAAAGAATGTCATATTTCGATTTCATTCATTCATTCATTCATTCATTCATTCATTCATTCA